CTTTTTTAAATTTCTTTTTCCTAGGGGGAAATGAACAGTTTATTTATCCAACTGGATCTTCCTGTGCAGTATAAAGAAGCTGTTACATCAATTGACAGGACTTAAAAGTTCAGATAAGCGTGGATCCAGTGAGTTTAGCTCTCTGATCTAGCCCTTAGGTTCCACAAGAGTGAAATACAAGGAGGAAATCTGGTGCTTCCCAAGATGCTATTATTTTCCCTCAAATTATTTACATCCTATCCAAGAGCAGCATAACAAAGACTGAAAAGGGCTATAATCACACTTCAATATAGCAAGGGGTAGAAGACAAGGAGGGGCAAGAACAGATGGGTATAAACTGGCAATTAATAAATGTTGACTATTAATGAAGTAAATGTTTGCGGCGGAGGGTGGGAATCTATCTACTTCAGTGTCAAGGCAAAAGCATAATTTTTAATATAGAGGAGGACTGCTTTCTGAAAAGGAATACATGACATGGCAGGCTGACACGGCATGGAACTGAACTCAGTAAAGCAGAATTTCTCTTCTAGTCTTATGTTTTACACATACACTTGTATTTTGACTCAGAAGTCCCCTGCTAATTTTAAGGACTTCAGTAGGCATACATACTTACACTAATACAAGAGATCCTTGGAGAATCCCTGGGAGATCTAGAGCCTTATTTTGTCAGTTGTAGCTCAACATGAATTCAAATTATACTAACAAAACCTACTCTGGTTTTGTGTATTTTTAAAAATAAAGAAATAGATGAATAATTAAATCATAAGGCTTCAGTCTCCCTCTCATCCCCTTTCAACAAACATTTAACAGCATAGGCAGACAAATTCAGGAGTAAGTTACAAAATGTGCCTTTCAGGAGAGTACAGAAAAACAAGAGTCTATTGTTATAACACTTTAAAATAAATCGATTAATACTCCTGTCTTACATCATACTCTGTTATTTCAGGTAAATTGCTTTCATCGGCCTTCTCTGACTTTTCAGCTGCCCACTTGCTTGCAGCTTCTGCAAGTTCCTTTTCCGATAGTCTGTTGCTCTTATCCAAGGCCTGTACAAAAACATTATAGTCAAGATTTAACATGAAATATATTTACACATGGCAAAATATTTTCAAAAGTAAAATAAACAGTTATTCAGATACCTAAAACATTTTAAAATAGGAAATGAGGAAGCTGAAGCTATTTCATTTGCTGACTGACTTCCTTAAAAAGAAAAGTAGGTGGGGAGAGAACAGAAAAAAGAAAAAAGAGAGAGCAGAAAAAAAAAGATAAAACAATTAAGTTCAGTAAAATGTTAAAAACACTTTCAGAATCAGTTTTATTAAATTCATGGGACAGAGATAACAGAAAAATTATTTGAGACCAGTTGAGTTTAGAGAGACATAGATCAAACAGGCACTAAGAAGTCCGATGCAAGTGTGGAGTGATCTAATAATTCAATGTGATTTTCAGACATAAAAGGTTGTAACAAATTTAAGCTAAACTATTAAATACTGCGTAGGGTATAAAACCTAACTAATTAGGGACAAAAAGTATTTTATACATATTTTAAATGATCAGAGCTGCTTCCATTAAAATTCATTATTTTTTATTTGGGGGGAATGTTGATAATTTATAATAGAGTCAGTCATGGCTTTATGGCCTTTTAATCTACCTTTTCAGATGAAAATAGTCACATAAATAGTATTTTTAAACTGATTTCTCTCTAAGAACACAATTTGGCTTTTACTAACAGAGCAACTAACAGAAAATGACAAATATCCATGTACCAAAACCATTTTAGCAATAGCTAGCTTTATAAATCTTGTTACCACTATATGGGTATTTTATTTGATTCAACTGTATGTATAGAAGCATCCATCCAAGAATCTATACAACTCTTTAATATTAAAAACTGCAACACTAAGGTGGATATCTAGAAGAGACACAAAAATCCTACTGCCTAAAAAAGGTTGTCACAATTTCTACCCAATGCCTGTTCCATCTTAGCAAATAATAATTTAAAAAAGCAAATAAAAAACAAATGACAAAAAGAATGACCCCCCCCCTTATCATTAGTTCATTCCAAATTACATAAACGGACAGAGGAAGCAAATACTGTGACCTGTAATAAGACTGCTTCATCTTCAGACCTTTTGTGCTTACCTCAAATAAAATATTATCCAAACAATTCTTTGTGCTGTAGTATGGCGTAAGTATACAATTCACAGAACCCTTCCAGGATTCTGTGTCATAAAGACACCACCTTTATCTGAATCCAGAAGAGAAGTGCAACACAATGTTCAAATAGGAATCCCTCTTTTCTATAATTGTAAATTACAGAATTACAACCAGCAAAGTCAGGAGGTGACAAAGTTCAATATGGAGGAGTACAAAGAGGGTTCTTAAAAGAAAGGGGTAATGTAATTCATAGAATACTTAGCCCAGCTCACCTTTCCAAAATACAAAATTATTCTTACACTAGTTTCACTACAAACTATCTGCTGCCAAGGTTTTTTTCCCCCCATGTTCTCATTCCCCATAGTATGCTTGATTTTTACCTTTAACCTGACTTCTCCCTAGCTGCCAAAAAATCTTGTGTTGTGGTACTATTATGAATCTCTCCCCTTCCTCAAATGTAGCTCTGGCCAATACCAACAAAAGACAAGACTGGTATCTTTGTCACCAACAGTCTAGCTTTGCATGAAATGAAGATAAATAAAATCTCACATGACTTACAATATTTCCACAAGCCATAAAGATAAACTAACCACTCTAGTATCTACTGGAATACAGCAAAGAGAATATGTTTAACTTAATTTCAGTAAATTTAATTCTATAGGTCACGTCAATAAATACGTATTAAAAAATCCTCAGTGCATTTTATGTAATAAAATAATGGTATTTCCACAGGGACACTACAACCGAAGAACAGGAACATATTCACTTCACCTGGAAACTTGCAAGGAATAATCCACCTAGTAGATCTCATAAAAAAAACCCAAACATGCCCCCTCTGCCTCAAACAGACGTGTCCTTTCTTTTTTTACCTATGCATAACATAAGAACAGCAAAAACCTGTCAGTTTTCTGCTATCTTTGCTGGGAAGCTTTCCCTGTCTCACACATCTGCTTTTTGCTCTAATTATGTTGGATACAGCCTCCAAGGCTTGCAGTCCAGACAGCTATTAAAGAGAAACACAAAAGATTTCATACTATAGTCAATTAAACAGGTGGTTAAGATCAGATAATACTGACATGTATTACTTCACACGCACGAATATGTAAAAAATAAGACGGATAAGAATACCTTTTCAGATTTGCATATAGTTACTACAGTGAAAAGAGATATTGCTGCGGAAGCATATACCTTTGTAAGTATTTCAAAGCTAAATTGTAACTTAGAGCATTGAAAATCTTCTCCTTTAATCTAGAAAATAAAGTATATAATTCATTTCTCAAGTCTAAGTAGACTGTAAGACCCTGGCTCTAGAGATGTTCATCATGTTTTGCCACAACTTTCTGTGTCGATATTTCTATGTCAGCGAAGCACTTATATAACTTAACTGGTCAGTGTAATCCAGCCATCATCCCAAGAGGCTCCGCTGACACAAGACAGTACATTACAAGGAGATGTCAGGACTTCAAGAAAAAAGCAATAAAAGGTCACTGAAATACTTCCATTTCTGCAGCTGATGCATACCCAATAAATATTTGTGTTGTCTGGGGAAATGATTACCATCAAACAGAAAGTTTCATTTTGTGTAGCTTACATCAAGTGGATATCCACTGCCAGCAGATATACACAAACTGCTGGAAAAAAAACCCAATACAGCATAGATCAGACGTGACTGAAGAAGAAAGCAAAACATTTAAAGAATACTTTATAGTTCCGAGTTCACACTGCATATTAATACAAGAGCAAGAGATTTTGCAATGCCTCCTCGTTCCCAAAGGTTTGTATTAAGCAAGGATTTGATATTAAGCTGTAGCATGCTGAGTCTGTAAGCAAAATAGGTGAACTAATTATAAAGTTTATTTTATAATCCAGATCAGTGTAACTTGTGCATAACAGCTTTTATCTTACTTTCCTTATTTACATTGCTGAAAATATATCACTTGCCTCCCCCTTAAGGACATTGGCAATTAGCTAATGCCTAGCACAGCAGTTCTAAAAGAGCTGCATAAGGGATACGTACTTAGAATGACATAGCACAATCAAAGCCTGATTTTTTCCCCACTTAATTATTTCCTTCAGTCTCACCTTCTCATGACAAAAAGTACCTTTCTTTCTTCCTTTTTTTTTTTAACCATTGCACTGCTTTTATTAAAAAGACCTCAAGAACCCTGCCAGTACACCATGCTTCTTAGGGCAAATGCTACTTTTTAATAGGACCTTATTCGCTTAGAACAATATAATGCATTGTTTCTTTATTTCTCATTAACATATTTCTCAACAATTCAGAGAAATTTTAACCTCAAATATAATTTACAGGCAAGCAGTCTGTGATGTGAAAATGGTTTTGCTGCCACACAACAGCCAGAACAATACTGAATGCTGGTTCTTCATTAATGTTTATTAGCCTGTCTATTTAACTAATTAGCAAGATCATGTATCACAGAATCACTAGGTTGGAAAGGACCTTCAAGATCATCAAGTCCAACCATTAATCCAGCACCACCATGTCCCCTAAACCATGTCCTGAAGCGCCACATCCACACGTTTTTTGAACACTTCCAGAGATGGCGACTCCACCACTTCCCTGGGCAGCCTGTTCCAATGCCTGAACACCCTCTCAGTGAAGAAATTTTTCCTAATATGCAATCTAAACTTCCCCTGGCGCAACTTGAAGCCATTTCCTCTTGTCCTATCACTAGTCACTTGGGAGAAGAGACCAACACCCTCGTCGCCACAACCCCCTTTCAGGGAGTTGTAGAGAGCGATAAGGTCTCCTCTCAGCCTCCTCTTCTCCAGACTAAACAACCCCAGTTCCCTCAGCCGCTCCTCATAAGACTTGTGCTCCAGACCCCTCACCAGCTTCGTTGCCCTTCTCTGGACACGCTCCAGCACCTCAATGTCCTTCTTGTAGCGAGGGGCCCAAAACTGAACACAGTATTCAAGGTGCGGCCTCACCAGTATAGTTGGTGCTCAGGCCACAAGATTTTTTCCAATGGGAAATTAAACAACATCATTTCGAACATAAAATGGCATTTACCAAACTATCTTGCAACGTGGCTCCCTTCCCAAGTAAATGCTATCATTCTTGCCACATCCTCAAGCAGCCCTGCTTCCAAGACAACTCTGCTATTCACATTATCTTCCTGGTCAGTCAGACACTTCACCACACTGTTTCCAAATCCAGCTACAGCTTAGGAATCACTGAAGGATGGAGTTCAGTGCAAGTATAGGCTTGTCCAATTGATGTGTTGCTCCTAAAAACTACTTCCCCATTTTTCTTTGTGCCATTCCTTTTCTACCACACTCTGGACTTTGGAAAATGACAATTTTAAATACATACAAAACTCCCTTTCTCCTAAAACGAGACAATGAATACAGAATAAAAAGGTTTGTCGGTGTCATCATTAAATATTCAGCATTATCACCACCCTCCTGCCACACGAGGGAAACCTATCCTCTGCTGGATTGCAGAGCAATTCGGGGTGCTCCTTTCGTTAACAGCTTCCAACTAAGGAAAAAGTCCAACAACAATGAGCAATCCGAAACCATGGCGAGAAGTACTCAAAGAGAAAATTCACCTTTGATGAGGGTACTGCTGTGGAACCTGAAGGTGATGCATCTCTTGAGGTTTTCATTGATTGAACTGACATCCTCTCTTTACCTACAATGAAGAAAAAATTAACAACTGTAAAATTACATTAAAGATATATGTTGCAAATATAGTTACTGGCTTAGAAAAACTGCAGCGAAATTTGCTCAGGTCAGACACGAAATCTACACGCTCCTCCATCTGATAAATACTGATAACACTTTCTTCTCTTTACAAAGAGCGAAGAGCTATAGCTATATTATTTCACATATTTATGAAAACCTATTGTCCTTTTTTCCAACAGTAACCGAAAGGGAGTATCAATATGATTTGGCAAGATGATGTGGTTTTACTTTTTAATATTCCTGTAATAACATAAACAGGTAAAATATTAGACACCAGTCAATCACTCCAGGAAACTAGGCAGTGTAGGAACTGGTTTAGCAGGCCACAGTGTGTTGACAAGCCCTGCCATGGGAAACAGTCCTGGATTGTATCAACCACAGGCTAGATGCTCTTTGTATTATCAGTGTTTTTCCTGTAAGACTTAAAATCAACAAAATCACAATTCAAATGCATTGTGCTAATCACAGCCTGTGCATAGCCTTGCCACAGACCAATTACAGGTAAGCCACAGCAGTAGAACTGGTTGCAGTGTAAAATACCACTTTTCAACCTGTGGTCCACATATTACATCTAAGGGATCCGCAAAAGGTAAACACAAAAAGCAAATGTGCTGTCAGTAGGCCTAAATTAACTAGACTATTCACATGCACTGGGAAATGGTTGACTGTTCACAAATGGAAAACAATATAGACTTACCTTAGCTTCCATTAAATTTGTATCACAGAATCATAGAATCTCTGGGTTGGAAGGGACCTTTAAAGGCCATCTAGTCCAACCCCCCTGCAATGAGCAGGGACACCTTCAACTCGATCAGGTTGCTCAGAGCCCCGTCCAACCTGACCTTCAATGTTCCCAGGGATGGGGTATCTACCACTGTGCCAGTGTTTCAATACAATTAAGAAAGGGATGAATTAAAAAGTCTGTCATATATTTATGAAAATTAGGATATAAATTATTTTAGTAGCATTATAAACAGAAATGGCTTTATTTTAAAGAATCGAAGCAATAAAGACCAAACATGGCATCTCACTCCTAACAGCTGTGCAATTTTCTTTTTTTACTCAATGCTGTAAAATAAGACTGCATTGTGTTGTGTATTTTAAAATACCACTACCTACACAAAAACTGTAAGGAAAAATCTATGCAAAATGCATACTTTTAACAATAGGAAATGTTTAAGAGGTATTTGAAAAGTTTGA